TTGTACTGAAACTCAAGAGTGGCTAATGCCATCCAGCCAAGCTCCTGAAGGTAGCAGAGTAAGCCTGTTAAAGTGAAAATGAAGAGTTCAAAGGTTAGCAAATTTATAGTGGCTTAAACATTCATGGTCATAGTCCTACCTGGGCAGTTATCCCTCCACAAGGGCAGACATTGATGCCAAAATCCAGCATTGCCTGAGCTCAGCAAGTGCGGCTTTCTCCTGATTGAAGTGCAAAGTGTTTGAGGACTGGGGCATTCGCAGGGAAACCAAAATGCTTGTTTACAAAGCTATTGTACTACCAACCTTAATGTATGCTTGTGAAACATGGACCACTTAAAAATGCCATCTCCAACTCCTCAGAAGATTCCATCAACTGTGCCTCTGAAAAATTTTACACATCACCAGGGAAGACCAGTGAACTAATGCCAGTGTACTGGAAGAAGCAAAGATCACCAGTGTCGAAGCAATGGTTCTTCAACATCAACTTTGTTGGACTTGTCATGATGTGAAGATGCCTGATTATCGTCTTCCAAAGCAACTACTCTATTCTGAACTTAAAAATGGTAAGTGTAATGTTGGTGATCAACAAAAGAGGTTCGAAGACTCTCTCAAGGCAAATCTTTAAAAATGTAGTATAAATACCGACAACTGGGAAACACTGGCCTGTGAGCGCTCCAGTTGTAGAACAGCCTTTACCAAAGGTGTCATGGGTTTTGAAGACACAAACTCAGGACGAAAGGGAGAAACACGCTAAGAGGAAGGCACGCTTGGCAAACCCTCAACTCCCACCCAGGAACCCATGTCCCCACTGTGGAAGGACGTGTGGATCCAGAATTGGCCTCCAGAGTCACTTATGGACTCACTTTTGGAAACCATGTTTATGGAAGACAATCTTACTTGGCTACAAGTGATCACCAAAAAAGAAGAATCCACATTATCAAACATATGAGAGAGGTTTTTTTATTGTTAATGTGGCTGTTGTTGTTTTTGTTTTACTTTTAAAGGGGGAGAATCCTACATGTTTCTATTTCATCTACCAGGTATTAGAGGCATGTATAAAGCATGCAGTGTATTTTAATGCATTTATTGAGGGGGTGGGAAGCATCAAACAATATGATATACTTGAGAGTCAGGCCACACTGTCATCAACCAGCAAACAGCTCTCTTTCAAGCTAGTGGTTTGTAGTTAATACCAGGAAACAAGCCCTTAAAAATCTCTTAACACAAAAGTAAGGAAGTTTCCTCAGGAAATTGGTGTTTTCTAGCAGCTCTGTATGTGCAGAACTGAAGGGGGGAAATCAGCTCTCTTTCCCACACCTGCTTTAAATGAAACTTGACAAGTCTCATTGAATTCAGTAAGATTTTGTTCTGCATAGGCATGTTCTGCATAGACAAACTTATGTCTTGGGTAGTAGTCACAAGCATGAACAACACACGAGGCATGCATAATACTTCTAAATTTGTGGACTTAATAATAGTGGACTTCACAGCTAAACTTGAGTCCCTGTCCTAGGACCCTGATGCCAGGGAAGGGACCAGAGATCAGCTGGTAGTGCAGATGTTTTGCATGCAGAAGGAACCAAGTGAAGTGTCACTGGCAAACACCTTAAAAAATGGCTGCCCATCAGTTTTGGCAATACTGAGCTAGATTAACAAAATCTGACCTGGCATAAATTATTTTTCTGAATAACTAGAATCAACAGAATAACCAGAAATTCAGGATTTTTAAAAATTATGAAAGTTTTCTTGTGGGAACAATCCAATATAGAGCAAATTTTGTGTTTGCTCTCAGAGTAACCCAAGATTCTTGAAGTATTACTGCTTCTGGCAGCAGCCAAGATAGCTATTCTAATCAAGAATCTTGGGTATCTTCAAATTGCACATTAGAAATTACATCTCAATAAAGTTAATGCACATAGCAAAGGACAAGACTCTTGTGTTGTCAAACCTAGTCTAAAAAGTTGGGGGAGAGGAGATTTTGCCAGGCAGTTTGTCCTGCTGCATATGAAACTTCACCTGCTAAAATTCCTTTTTCTACACAACTAAAGGAGCTCTATTCTCTTTTGAAGCTGTACATCCTCCATTCCACTTGAATTTCAAGGAAATTACTCAGAAGGGAAATGAAAGACCAAGCTTATGAATGAGAATTCAAGATGCCACCTCTGTTACATGCCCCCCATACTCATAGATGCACTAAAGATAAGGAGAGAGAAAGTGAAGCAGCAGGCAGTAAGAGGGACAGGCATAAATATTAGTTGCTAGACATAGCAAATACTTTACTGTTGTTTCCATGAATTATCCTGTAATTATCCTTGTGCAAAGAACTGGCAGGCACACAGCTGTGCTTCATCTTCCCACACAGATCTCCTGCCAGTACCTTGCTATTGACCTTTCCTCCCCAATGCATTCCTGGCACTCCTGTAGGTTGCAGATCCTGCATGGTTAGGTCAGCAAAGTTCAGCAGGAGACTTGTGTTTAGTGTGAATTGGGCCCAGTTATTTTACTTCATATCAGTCTTCTTGCAGCTCAGTGACTGCTGAAATAGAAACATCTGTTTCAAAGCAACGTGCAACCAAATTCTCTGCAGTTTTAGTGAGTTTAGGCACCTGTAAATCCTACACTGGATTGGGCTCCAATCATATGTTCACTTACTTAGAAAGAAGTCTTATTAAGGTCAGTGTGATGCTAATGTCTGCAGGCAGAACCAAGACGGCTCCTGTAGATGATCTTAATGACTAGGCAGGTCTGCATGGGAGGTGTTCTCTCAGATAATCTGGTCCCAAGTTGTTTAGAGCCTTGCAGGATAATATTCCAAACCAATATTAAGGACAGATCTACTTACAGTGCACTACAGCAACCGAGTCTTGAGGCTACCAAAGTTTGAGTTTGTGGGAAATTGCAGTCAAATATACCGTATTTTTCCCTCCATAAGATCTCTCCATAAGACGCACCTGACCATAAGACACACCTAGTTTTTAGAGGAGGAAAACAAGAAAAATATATATTCTGCGCAGAGCATGTAAGCAACTCTTGCTTTTCTTGCTTTAAAGCAAGCAAAGTGAGAGCCGCTTACACGGCTTCTGTCCCACTTTGCGCAGCTCTCACTTTGCTTGCCCATCCCTCCCCCTGCCTCGCTGTAAAGCGAGGCGACGCCGGAACAAGAAGAGGAGGAGACACCGGAACAGGTGCTTTGCTTGCTTTACAGCGAGGCGGGAGGAGGGGCGGAAGGGGCTCCCGTCCGTCCCTCCTCCCGCTTCGCTGCAAAGCTAGCAGAGCAAGAGCCGCTGACACGCTCTCCGTGGCTCTTGCTTTAAGGCAAGAATAGCAAGAGCTGCGCAGAGTATGTCAGCGGCTCTTGCTCTGCTTGCTTCACAGCGAGCGACAGACGGGAGCCATGGGTCCAACTGCAGAGGCATCCCTCAGCTCGCGACTGCAGCGACAGCCGAGGGATCCTTCTGTCGTCCCGTGCATAAGACGCACAGACATTTCCCCTTACTTTTTAGGAGGAAAAAAAATGTGTCTTATGGAGCAAAAAATACAGGGGCTAGTTAATTCACGAAAGGGTTAAGACACAGAAGTGTATTCCTAGACTCAATTAGGTCACACCTCCTCATCTCTGGTGAAGAAGGAAGTGAAGCTTCCTTTGTTCACTCTCTTCTATGTGGGCTTCTGCACTTCAAACCCAGACTGCGTGCTCAGAAGTATTTTTCTGTGTTTTTTAAACCAATAATGTTATACTTGTGTTCTTCTTGCCATTGCATAGAATAATGCACAAATCTGATCTTTGGGGCTTGTAAGTAAAGCAATTTAATGGTGTGGTGTGTTCATTGTGAGAGGGGTAGAAATGGGAAGCACTTTAAGCAACTTAAACAGGTTATTTAAAATGTTTAACAGTCTAAATCCCTATGCTACACTGCTGCTTGCTTTTGTGGCTTTAACACTCTGCTCTCTCTCTCTTCCTGGAATTTGCTTGCCCCACATATCTGGATGTAGGTATCCAGCACAATTCTTTTATTAATTATCCCATATGGGCAATCTCTATATAATTTTCATTCCCATGGGGCCAGCACAGCAAGGATGTCCATGTCCAGGAAAAGCCACAGCTTGTGTACAAGCCACAGCTAGTGAAAAGCTTTCTTTGGCAGTGTGACCACATGCACTTCCAGTGACAATGATGGATCCAGGAGGACTCTCAAACTATGTTCTTGCTCCTTCAGGAGTGCAAGCCCAAGTGGAAGAGGCAAAATGCCCGATTCCCAGATCTGGGAGCCCTCTACCCACAGGCCCCCCATCTTCCTGGGATTCAGTTTATTGGTCCTCCCTCATCCAGCCCACCACTGCATCCAGGCACTGAAACATACAGAGGATTTCCCTTTAAGAAGTTAGGGTAAAACTTTTTTTTGCTACTGGATTGTAAGCTCTTTATTTCTGATTCATACATACATATTGTACATATACTGATATTACATATTATATTGCTTAATCTAAACAATTTTGTTAGCAGAGTTGAACAAAATGAATAGTGCATTAGGGCCTTTCCAGATAACAGGAGAAATCCATATTGTTCTTATTAGCATTCGTAATAGTAGCCGTACCACTAGCCCCAGCCTAGGGCTAGTGGTGAAATACCCCATTCCTGACATTATGCAGGGAAGGTAGTAGATCCTTCAGGTGAAAAGGTGAATAGCCTCTACAAAAGTTTTTTTTTAAGTAAAGAATTTTATAACATGTAGCATAAAGATATGATCCAGCCAAAGTGAAGTATTTGAAAGTCCAACTATCTTAACCAAGTTAAAGCATATGCCTAAATCACTCTTACTAAGATCAAAGGGTCTTTGAACTCCTTAATTTTGGCTATTTGGTACAACCGCATTTAGACTACTGTGTTCAGTTCTGGTTAGTACGCATCAAAAAGGACATTGCAGAGCTGGAAAACCAAAAATAACCAGAGAAGTGGAACAATACCCATTATGAGGAATGATTGGGGCATTTGGAGCTCTTTATTTCTTTAAAAAAGGCAAGGGGGAGGACATGATAAATGTGTATAAAATGATGCCTGGTGTGGATAAAGTGGACATTTTTCTTCCTCTCTTGCAAGACGCAGGGTCATCCAACAAAGATCCAAGGCAGACAAAAGGATGTACTTGTTCATATGGCACATAGTTAAATGTATGGGATTTGCTGCCACAAGACATAGTAATGGCTACCACTTTGGATGGTACTAAAAGGGGTTTAGACAAATTCATGAGGATAGATCTGTAATGGCTACAAGTTTGTGCTACCTGTGAAAACTGGTTGCTGCAGAACAGGAAAGTGTAGTTACACTCAGGTCCTGCTTGCAGAAGGCTTCCCGGAAGAGGCATCCAGTTAGTCGCTGTAAAAATAGGATGCTAAAATAGGCGGGCCTTTGATATGATCCAGCAGGGTATTCTGATATTTTTTGTATCATGCTCCATATATTTAAAATATCACAAAATTGTATGGAGAGAATGGGGGAGTCATGTTCATCACCAGTGACCTCAAGGGCACTAGCCAATAGGTTCCATAAATGTGCTCCCAGTCCAAACTGCAGAAATATGTAGTTTCTGCTGGTCCATGAACTGAAGAGGGGGGATATAATTTGCTCAGTAATAAAATAATCATAACAATGCAATTAACCCACAACATATCTTTTTGACATCTGAATCTGCCACAGTAACTAAGAAACCACACAAAGAAAACCTAGAAAGGCCCTAAGCAATGCTTAATTATGAGCACTTAGATACATGATGAAGGGAAATTCTATGTATTAAAAAGTTTACTTGAGTGTAAGTATTTGTATTTATTTTTAAAAGAAATAACAGTTTTTGCTGAACATTGCTAGGTAGTAATTAGTATAATATGCAACTGACATACTTATACTTTTTTTGTAAAGAATAAAATTCTAAAAATATATATTAACGAGCAAATAGCACTTTGTTCTTTAAGTTGAAGAAGACAGACTATTTGTTTTTAACAAGACATTTGTCTTATACACCTTCTTAACCATCAATGCCTTACAAGCAAATTGCAATAATGTCACCATATTTTCCATTATTTGACAAGGGGCAAATAATATCAGTAATTCATAGCTATGGCATAAGTAGCCTGGTCATATGTGGAGTAACTCTACCCAGGACTGGATTGTAAGGCTGCAATCCTTACTAGGGAGTATAAGCCTCACAGGATCAGTGGGTTTTACCTCTGAGTAAACATGCATTGGATCAATATGTAAGAAAGATGGAACATCTAAAAATAATTGCCATTTTGAACACTGGAATGTTAGTGCCAAAAACATTGGGAAGTAAAATTGCCAGTATTTAAACTGGTACTTGCAGCTGTGCCCTTAAGAGCAATTTGCAGCAGAAATTTGCAGGTGATAATGTTTATCACTATGCATGTAAAGCTTCATCTCTTGTTGATTTCTGCAGATTAAGCAGTTGTTTAAAGGCATAAGAACATGCCGGGCTTATTATTTGGCAACCCAACTTGAAAGGGCTAATCCCAAGGGCCCCAATCCAACACTTGAGTTAGGTACAATTAATGTAAGTGACATCAGGGGGAATAAGAGCACAACTTTGTGTTATATTGTGACCAAAATGTTTTCAAAAACACATTTTCACATTTAAACGTCATAGACTTGCACTATTTAAATTATCACACAGCATCTCCCCAAAACAAGGTACAGTATTAATATTTTCAGATTGCAAGAGCTTAGTACAAAGAAGCAGAGCTGTCAGCTCCATTAGCTCAACAGGGCAGATAGTATTGTGGCAGAGAGCACAGTGCAGTTGACAAAAGCCCCGTAACATAAATTCAGTACACACAAGCACCCTGTAGATGTCTACCCCAGTCCAGAGCTCCATATACCAGTGCACATACCGAGTTCTTGTGACCATTTACTTCAATAGAGAGAAGCAACTGCAAACACACAACAAAATGTATGTGGTGCACAGCTTCCTCCACTAAATGTAATGGGAGTCACTCTGCAGACAGATAATCTCCATGTGCTCATTAGCACAGCAAGTGATTGATTGAGAAGAGTAAGTACTGCATCTATTAAACGTGTTGGTGGAGGGAACCCTGCCCTGTTACCATTGTCTCATATGACCACCATCAGTTCTGAATTTACTTCTAGATCTAAGAACCTATATCACTTTGATTAATTCTATGAGTTTTCAAATCCAATGCTAAGCAGGAAACAGGGAAAATGTTCTTTTTTCATCACAATCGGGAGATAATTCATATGACTGTTTCTGAGGTAGAAGAGTCGCCACAAGGTTCATTTTCCTATTAATATATTCATAGTAAAAGGATCTTATAAGGGAACCCCGTGGCAAAATTGCACATTAACATACCCTTCAAAATGCTTGCTTCCTATTACAAACATAGTACAAGGGCAAAAGACCAATATTCACCATCACTCTTGTACTGCATTGCATAGTCCTAATGTCTGTGAAGAAAATGAGTTCATGGCATGGGAGGCATTGAAATTTCAGACTGGGAACACTCTCAGGGATCTGGAAGGTAACTCAAACCTCTGTCTGTTAAACCATGGCATCTGAAGTAGAATTTCTTCTAAAGAACAATCCAATTTTCAAATTATCATTCTACAGGATGACATAAAATGCCAAGTGCTAAGATGGGTTCCACTCTTGTATAAGAATCAGTGCTCAGCACTTTATGGGACTGGCACCACACAGGGCATGTGTCGTTCTTGGAACTTCTTCAAGCTTAGATTAAGGAAGAAACACAGGCAGCGTAAAAACTGATGTCAAACAAGGAACCTCAGATACACTGCAAAAATATAATTTGTTTCATGACATTTAACTACAGACCTTTCTTACTTACTTCATTTCTTTCTGTTGACAGAACCTATTTCAATCCTTTTAAACAATCCAACTTATTGTGTTGGATCTGAAGGTTTTCTTCCTCTGATGGATGGAGCTTGCTCCATTAGAAGAAGACACTTTATATTGGATTGGCAGAAGGCTCCTTCTGCTGGAGAATGCAAACCTTTGGCTCCGAAACCAGTATATATGTGAGTGGATTCCCAATGTTCAATTTCCATCACACACACTAGTGGCAGAAGTTGAAAGATAAAGGGGTTGCAGTCATGAAGATATGGGCTGATTCAATTTTCAGTAGCACCCACTGAATTCTATGGGACAAAATAAGTGGTCTGCAGATACAACTGAAGGGGTACAAAGCTTTACACACACTCCAAAAACATGACTCACCAAAGACAGGAATATTTAGTGTCCCTTGGTTAACCTCTTCACTTGCTGCCACTCTTCATATGAGGAAAATGGTTTGGAATTATTTTTAAATGGTGGGGAAACCTCCCTTGCCAGCAGTGATGGCTTTGATGATGGACCACAGAAGGTCCCAGCTTCCCTCTTTCTGCCACCCATCCCCTTGCATGTTGGACAGCAGACTGGTCCCTTCCCTATAAAAGAACGTATTGTTCAAGGTGAATGTGAATTATATGTGAATGGAGATAATGGCAACCACTACCAGCCCTGCCTGTCATAACGACTACAGATGACTAATGACAAATGATGATTAGTAATACAGGATATTGATTTAATCTACTTGAAGCTATATTTCTGGAGTAAGGTGATAATAACTACTGACTAAATTTATTACAAAAGGCTACTATGAACATGTTATGTCTATTAGCATCCACTTTTTGATTAAATAAGACCCACACAACTCAGCATTCTATTTTCAGTCTGGCAAATTAATTAATTTGTCACCACCATTTGAAAATAAACTAGTGTGTTTTAGAATTGCTAGGGTTTTTCTTCTCAACAGAGGGGTGTTTGTTACTGTGCAGTACTTTAGTTAGCATGAAGTTTTGAATTTGGTACTTTGTTTGTGATGACAACTGGTACTGCAATCAAATTAAGAGAGAACCTTTATTTTCTCTTTGGGGCTGTTATCTCAGCATACTATCTGATGACCTCAGCATATGTTGCCTCTCTCCCTGCATCCTTTCAGTCTGGGATTTCACCGAGGTCCATACATATTCTCATTCATACAAGGAGTATCCTTTGCTTCTGCAAGCATTACCTCCTCTGGGGACTTCCTGTTTCCTTAACAACACATAAAATTAAGAAAAAAACATTCCATCCTTGTTATTCATGGCACTGTTGTGATCAAGAATAGTCCTGCATAGTGCCTGCTATTGAGAGATAGTGAAAGAAAGAAAAATACTAAGAATCTTTTGGGGAACAAAGGAGTGGAATTATAGCTATTGGTGGCAAACCAAGATCAGTGAAGTCTCTGAAGCACTTGTAACGCTTCATGTGAGCTCGAGCTCCCCAAATTCTTCTAAGAAGCAATGTGTGTTTGTTCTTTCATAAAGCAAGGAAGGTAGCAATCTGAGTCTCTCCTTGCACAGAATTCCGCATGCCTAATTGAGCCCATTGAGCCCAATGCACTGGAGCCACTGGACTGGGGCATTGTTAGAGGGAAATTAACATTTCTAATGTAACTCGGCACAGATATGTTAATACGCTGAAGCCAAAATGGAACAAAAAATCAAACGTCCAGAATCACGGATGAGGCACACTGACGGCAAAATTCAGAACTGGGGGGAAATGAATATTGTAGGCAGCACTTCTGAAGGTAATGCACAAATCTGTACGTTGCTGCCTATTTGGCAGTAGCAGCCCTCCATATATATTTTTATTTTACTTCAGAAAACTCTGAATGGCACTGAGTGATCAGAGAACAAAGGTTGCAATCTACCAGGAACTATTCTTGCACCAACAGGCCTCATGAAAAGAAATGAGGCTGGTGCACAGGGGTCATCCTGGAGGATTGTGCTCAAATGAGAAACCCAAATTGTCCCCATCCTCGAGGCCCAGGCACACCAAACAAATGAAAATTCTCTTCTGCACTTTGCCAAGGAAGTTAGGGATTTCCTTTCACTGTCATGTCAATCCTTTAGGGAAATAAAAGAAGAAGAAAACATTTAGTATGGTATATATTTATTGGTGCATATGTATCTTCCTCTAAAAAGCACAGGGCAGGATGCATTCTTAGGAGTCCCAAGTAGCGTTTGTCCCATGGCCCAAGCCAGACACCCCAACCATTTTCTGGGCTCTATTAAAATGCTCTCCCCACCTTTCCCCAACTTCTTCAGGAATGCCCTAATCATGCCAGGAGCCTCTTTTGAGTCAACTGTTCAAAAAGAACAAACATGCAATTGAACAGGAATAAAACATGCACAACATTTCAGTACTCCTAAACATTACTCAGGTAATATTGTGATGGATAGTTTTATTAAAATGGCAACACCAATGTAAATATACTTGATGAGATCATAGATATACTA